AACAGATAATACTCAGGTAAAACCATTACTAACAAACAAGCATGGAACAAGTGCAGCTGAAAGGCCACTTATTAGAATGCAAATGTGGTTTGTACCATTTAAATTTGATATTGTCCATATTAAAGGAAAGAAAAATTTTATTCCAGATTTTTTTAATCAGGAATGGAGCAAATATAGAAAGAAATAGATGAATTGAAGTTCGAAATGTATGTGAAGATTGCTGCCATGGAATCCAAGATAACATTAATGGAAATGACTGATACTAAGCCAATATCTGAGAAAGCCAAAGAGGCTATACTATCTGAAAGCCCTAGTGCTAGTATATTTGAAGGCTCCAAAGCCAATATCGAACAAGAAGCATTCAAGCTTCATAAACTATCATTCAAAGAGAATACTACTCTGTCTCCTTCACAGGAGAAGAAATTTACAAAGGACGGTATCTCTATACAAGAGCTTGATCGCTCAAATATCATCAAAGCATGTAACACCCCTGATGTTATGGATATCAAAAATAAAAATGATTTTATGTTAGCATATGTATTGTTCAATCAAGTCTGCTGCTGGTTTGCCAGTATTGGAGGATGGATGAAAACCTTAACATATGAAAATTATAACAAAGTCAATATTTATCCAGGAGCTCCAACTTATTGGGTTTGTGCTCTGTATGATATTGGAAATATACTCTGTATATATCCATCAGAATCTTTAAAGGAAATTTCTATGCTACCGAAGGATGTTGTTCAAGCCATTGAACGATATTGTCAAGTTCTTAAACATAAGAACATATATATCAGATTTTTCTCTGCAAGCCCCGAATGGATTAATGAAGAAGATAGACTGCTTCAAGCAAGTCATGTCATAAGAATAGCCACTACTTCCAAGCATTTCCAGCTTGAAAAGAGTGAAGTCCATGATACTACGCCAGAAGACATCAATAATTTGATGGCCTTTCGTAGAGCCAAAGGATATAAAGAACAGTTTGAGCATATTCAAAAAATTATTGAAGAAAAGAAAAATATGTGGGTGTATGAATCACAAGATCACTTAATCTACAGCAAAGCTGTAGCACCCCACCAAACCAGAAGATTGGCACTATCTTGACTCATGGTGCGATCATATTTTTAAAGGACAAGCCAGTGGAACAATGAAGACAAAAATTGAGCTGTGTAAACAATTTTGGCGTTATCCAAATCATAAGAAACATGCTAGTGGAACAATGAAGACAAAAAAATGAGCTGTGTATACAGTTTTGGAGGTATCCGTATCATAAGTGCGAATGTTGTTGCACTGAAGATGACTTCTCACCAATTTCCTTGGATCCATCGGAATTCCCGAAGGAATGATTTGAATCACATATGGAAAAGTAAAAAGAGATCTCTTTATCACTACTTTATCAAAAATATTTTTGATAAAGAAAAACTGTGGGTTCACCTCCATTATTTTCCATGTTAAGATAAAGAATTTTAGGCCACAGTAGGATTCTCATTATCTTACACAGTAACATAACAATAATGAAGGACAACTGTGGAGCTTTTTCAAGTCTATAAATTGAAGACCAATTCATAGAAGGTATTCGAGTCTTAAGCCAAAAATTTATCTTTCTACCTTACATTTCAAATCTTGTAACATTTTCATTTTCTATTTTTGGAGTGAAACTTATAATAAGATAATCTCTATGAAGATCTAATTTCCTTAGAGAAAATACCAAGAGTGTAGCCGAAATATGTATGTGTACTCTTATGTAAGAGATATTAGTGTGATGTTTTTATGAAATTAAATTATTTCAAGATATTGTCTTTTTATCCTTATTATTTTCTCAAAAACTCTTATCTTACTTATACTCCAACGATGAAAACCTTGAGGGATAGTGCAAGTATCTTATTGCCGTGTTGCCCTTTTTAGGCGTTTTTAGGCATTGTTAGAAAGTTATGACAACCCTGTTACCATTCAAGATGATGTTTTAACAAAGAGTTGAAAGGAAAACTGTGATTCCATGTGATCCATTGTGAGATATGCAAAAGAGTCAGAGAAAAAATCAATGTGTGTGGAAGTCGTGTTGGACCATAACCCACTTTCTTAAATTCAAATAACACCGATCACTTATGTCGGAGTACACTAATATATGGGTGCAAGTTCAAGGAAAATCTCATTGATATTACTCTACATTTACCGTCTGCTCCAATACTGTAAGATCTTTCTTATTTATGTCAATTACTTGCATTAATATTTGCACTCCTTCTATTTACGAAATTTTAGTTACTATTATTCAATGTTTATTGACTGTGAAAGAAAAAGAGAATAAATTAAATCATTTTATACTATGCTTGACTATTTTTTAAAAGATAGTAAAAATATACATGTGTCTTTATATTGGACAGAAAATATAGTCAGAATTAATAGAGAAATTAATGAACTAGAAAATAAAATTAGAATATCAAACGATTGTTTTGATAAAAGATATATAGATAAATAGGAGCATAATTGACTTTTTTATTTATTATGAGAAATAAACTAAACTCATTTTATATTAGAAATAGAAAACATTGATTTAACCAAAGAATAAAGGAAAAAGATAAAAATAAGTGCTTTCCACGTGTACCTGTTTTTGAGTTGGGACAATTGTGCGTGGATGAATTGCACAACCCTTGGAGTTTATATATATATTGGAGTTCAAACATTGCGGCTGGAAGAGAGTAGGTCAGTGATTTATATATATATATTTATAAACACACAAAGCTTGAGTCAATTTTTCTTTGTAATATTTTGGGATTGGTTTGTTGAGTGAATTCTATATGATTGTAACAATTTTTCACTTACCAAACATGCACATCGATCATTAGATTATGATACAAAAAATATGTATAGGAGCCGAATTATTAGTTTAATTTACTTTTTAATTTTTTTTTCATCTTTTTCTTTTTATGTTATTGTCATTTGAAACAAATTAATGCATTAGGTTTTTAGTAGGGTATCACGCGTGCTTAATTTCTTTCTTTTAAATAAATGAATGTACTGATTCTTTTATTTTCTGTGTATTTATGTATTTCTTTTATTTATTAGTTGCTTTAATTGATATTTCACCATGTTTGATACTCATTTTTCTCTTTTTTATTTTCAACCACACATTATTCAATAAAATAATATTACACGTAAATTCAAAAAATTTCTTTATTTTTTAACTACATATTTACCATTAAAAATATTATTTAAAATGCATTCTTGGAGAATAATGTGGCTCAAACAGGGTGTTTGTTTGCACAGACTATTTTTCTAAATAAACTATATATAATAAGTTCGACAGAATTGAACTTGACAGGATAGTTGACAAGCATCTCACATATTTTTCTTCACTAATCATTTTAATTCTATCCAATTCTTATCGAACACGTAAATAAATGCATAGTATATATGCAGATTGAAATGAACTAAACAGTATAATATAGTCTTATTTTATTTTATTTTTTCTTCTCTTTTCTAAATACCCCTTCCACCTACCCTCATGAATATCCTATATCGTGTGGATTTATAAATCTAACCTTTACTCCAAAGGAATTGTTGTTGTAAGATATAGTTTTCCTAAATGGCTTGAGATTATCCGTTGGAGGCATTCTTCATTTTGTCTGCCATTAGAGACTTCATGTTATGAAACAAATAAGATATCAAAATTGCTCTGATACGAATTATTATCAATTTGGATCGTAAGATAATAACGATAATGAAATAAACAAGAAGAAAATAAACACCAAGATTTACGTAGAAACCTAATACGGGAAAAAACTACGTGCAAAGGAGGAGAAATCAATTATAATCAATAGCAATTGTGTTTACAAGATCTCAACTCACTCAATTAAAATCTAAAACTCTCAAGATATTGTATAAATCTTCTCTTTTATGTTAATTTCTACACAAGTCGTGCTATATATATATAAACCCTAGAGAACTAGTTGTAAAAGAATAGGAGTCCAAAACTGCGTCAAAAATGAAAACGGGTCTGGCCAGATAATCTTGTCGCTCGAGCGACAAGGCAGCGCCAGGAGAACGACCAAGTCTCAGGTTGTTTTTGTCAGGCTTGCTTGAGCGTTGGCGCTAGCGAAAATGCGATGACTTTTTCCTCTGATCCATAATTTTGATCTCTTCGAGACCACTCCAATTTAAACTTCAATACTTAGTAGAATTTGGATCAAATCACAACACTTCATATGATTAAAATGGTATTAAAGAGAGAGCCCACTAATTATAAATTTTGACAAGAAATTTTAAAAACTATTTTTAGACGGAGATGTAGTCCCCAAACTGGCGCTAGCGAAAATGCGGTAACTTTTTCTTTCGATCCATAATTTTGATCTCTTCAAGACCACTCTAATTTAAACTCCAAACTAGGCCACTTAGGGTCCCTATTCAAATTTTCTTGATTTCCAGATTCCATACTATTATTTATGTTGCACTTAGGTCCTTTAAATCAAAATAAAAAGAAAAAAAAATACATTATTGTAATAGTGGATTTAGATCAGCATCTAATGTTAAATCAATTATATTTGAAAAGGTGTCAATTCTTGAAAATAAGGGATTGGTAATAAATAATATGTAATGGAAGAGAGAGAGAGACAAAATGGATATTTTACTTATTTATTAACTATTACAGAGAGAGCAAGGACATGATAATCCTTGAGGTGACAATATACTTTATTATCTTCAAATGAATAAGGATCTAACTATTTATTTGTGCTACATATATGAACACGAATAAATTCTAGATTAGAAACGATCCATGCATGTAATCCAATAAGTTCACTATACATGATGCTGTCTAGACTTTCTGTGCATGATATAAGATATATGCTTTTAGATTACACATTGTCCACAAATAAATTCTAGATCTAGAAACGTTCCATATAAGCCAATAAGTCTACTATACATGATGCTGCTGTCTAGACTTTCTGTGCACGACATATGCTTTTAGATTACACATTGTCTACGTTCCTACGAGATCAATATCCTGTTTAGAAATATTCTAATTCACTTTGAATTAACGATTCAAAATCAAAACGTGAATGTGCCTGAGGACAAATTGGTGAAACGATTCCCAGATTATACAATAATTCAATATTGTTGCACCTGGCCTTAACCGATCCACCTCCTTCACGTACCAAATCAACATTCTGAAAAACGATCCCTTGACATGGATGGCTCTCGCTGCAGTCCAAAACTATAGCTACATCTGAAGCACTTGTTCCCTTTATATTCTGATATACTACATTTTTCACTTGTACCGTCGAACTCTGAAATAAATAAAGACTCTATTTGTCATACAAAATAAAGTTGATCCGTGTCATACTTTTTTCTTTATAAACTACCTAATTGGTGTGGGAGTTATGTGGGCACTTTCAGTGGTTTAAAAAACAATACAATATAGATCTTAGTGAGTTTCATTTCATGTGTAAGCATAAATAGGGGATTTAAATTGAGCTATTGAAGATGGTTTCATTTTATTTTATTTTTTTACCTGTTCTTCACATGATTCAGCTTGATCACAATAGTTTTGGTCTATGATTATGGGATTAATCACATTTTGCATCTCCACATTCTGAAATTTGATGTTGCTTGCACTTCCAGATCCACCCTGCACATGTTACTCATACATATGTTAATTAATTAAAAAATTCGTATATGTACGAGCCCGTGCAAGCGTTGATACGTCTTATACACACACAAATTGTTACCTGCCATGTCTTAATCCGGACTCCATTTTTCGTTCCTGAAAGCTTAGCTCCATTCGTGACTACATCTGAGACGTAAGCTTCTGAATTGCGATATCCCAAGCTTCCGATACTAGTAAAGCAGAAAAATGGGGAAAAAAAAAAATATTGTAAAACAGTTAAAAGAAAAGTTACTTTAAATAATATTCGAAACATTTTTATAAGATCAAATTTAGGTGTAACTTTGAATGTCAAAACCTGATGCCATGACCCGGTCCACAAGTGATGTCCGTCGCCTGGACATTTCGCGATCCACTGACGATTGAAATGCAGTCGTCACCTTAACACAACAACGGACATTAAATGAACAAAGAAATATTTTTTAATTGATCAAAATTACTCCGAGTTGAGATGACTATTATACCTGTCCCTATTGTACAATTCGAAATTTGAATGTGTTTGGTTTTTGTGACATGAATGCCATCGGTGTTAGGGCTTCCCTCGGGAGCAGATATCGTGAGATTTGAAGCCTGAACATTTTTGCACTTCTGGAAGGATACATGAATTTGTTGTGCATCTTGAATCTTTAGGTCCTTCACTACCAAGTTTTTGCAGTTATACAATGTTAAGGCCTGTAATAGTGTTAAGGATTTATATCAATAGAAAAAATAATTTCCAATTCACAAATATTTTTGTAGTTATTTTGAACTATTATGAACAAACAATTAATGTGATAAATTAAAAATATATATTTTCTACACAAAGAGTGCGTTTGAGCCACATTATTTTGAAAGAATGTATTTTGGAATAGTAGATTTATGGAGAATGTGTAGTTGAAAAAGAAGAAAAAGTTATTGATATGATGAAAAATATTATTTTATTGAACAATGTGTATTTGAAAATGAGTAAAAAAATGAAAATGAAAATTTTAATGTGGCTCTAACTGGGGCTAAACAATTTGTTAATAAATAATCAAACTATTATGAAAGTATTTAGGGTGTGTTTGATTGTATTTATTTTCTATGAAAAATGTCATTTTTCCATCCAAACTCCTACTTTAAAGTGTCTGATTGCTATTTTTTCATGGAAAATATTTTCTAACTTCTAAAAATATGCCTAATTTTCCTTTTTTTTAAGGAAAAAAATTTGGGTCAAAACAAGGAAAATATTTTCTTTTCTTAGATATACTTTTCATATCAATCAAACACACTCTTACAGAAAATCAAGGAAATTATAAAATGAATATCTCGAAATTTATGGAAAATAATTGCACAAATTAATTGAAACAAGTAAACCGTACCGTGGGTGCATCCTTGCATTTCTGAAAAGAAAAAAAAAGGGTTACAAGTATAATTAATAAATTTATAAACACATAAAAGACAAAAATAATGTATAAATTACAATATATAATTTCTGATTTAATATTTCTTACTTTAGATTTATCTATTTTGCAGGAATTTTTCCACCATACGCTCCCGTTGCCATCAATAATTCCACCACCCTCAAGCATTAAATCTTTGACATTGTCAAAAACAAGCCAGTGCTTTCTATCTTTACTGTAGTCGGAAGGATCATCAGATGCTACTAGGGTTCCTGCAATCTGCGTATTTTTTTCACCGCATAATTATTTTCTGTAAAATAAATTTCTTGATGCTAAACAGCATGTTAAGCTAAGCTTAAAAGTACTTAGAATTTAAATTTGGTAACTTTTTCTTTCAAAAATAAGTTGGTTTTACCTGAACTGTTATGTCAGATGTACAAGGGCCTGAGAATCTAATAGGTTTCAGAAGATAATTATTTCCCGGAGGTACCATTAACGTAACAGCTGCTGTGGATGAACAGGCTTCATTCCATGCATCCTGAAATGCCTGGAAAACAACATGTGCAGAGCAAATAAGAAAACTTAAGAGAATATACATTTGTTTATTTATATTTAATCTCCCACACAATAAGATCAAACACAATCCTCTTATTGAATTTTGGCTTCGAGCGTGTAATAAGGACTTACCTTAGTATCATCATTACTTCCGTCACCTGTAGCTCCGAAGTTTGCTACACCCATCGTCTTAACAGAAGCTGCACGTCGTCGAATCTTAGTCGAATGATCAGAAAATCCAGTCTCGATCTGGGTTGTGTTTTCGAAATTAAGGCCTTCAATGGTGCTAATATATGAAGGATAAGCTTCAAAATCATAAGCAGATTCTTCTTGAAAATAATTATTACTAGAAAAATTATCATCATGAAGGCTGCAATTGTAACATGAACATAAAAACAGAAAAAATATAATGATGAATGGGAAGATATTCCTTTGATGAGACATTATATGCTTTTACAAATTTTCTTGCAACTGAATTATTGGATTATCAGAAAAATATGTAGGACTTAATATTTTGTATAGATACGAGGCATGGATGTGATGAAAAAGTTATGTCTAACTTAGTATATATATAGCAGTGGTATTTCTATCGATCTTTTGGTATGGATTCTATGGAATACTGGCAGGGGCGGACCTGGGGGGGGGNATGCAAACTTACAAAAACTCTTCTTTCAATTTCCTGCCATTAAATCATCTTGCCTCGCCATCTTAATTCATTACCCTTACTGGTCCTCAAATAGTTAGTGATGCGTTAAATTGGTCGTTTTACCCCCGTAATTATTTTCTCACTTAAGTCAACATTTTCTTCATCAATTTCTTTACGATCAAATTGCAGTAATAATTCGACCATAGCCAAATACTGAGCTCATATTAAAAATGATTAGAAGAAAATACTTAAGTGGACTCTTTTACCATTTGAATTGAGCGGAAGATTTTGAACCCAAATAATTATCTACTACATCGCTTACCTTCGATTTTAAATCTATCTAGCGATTTCACAAATAATTAGATCTCGCTCGTTTGGCATACCAAAGACCTTAGAGTTCACGAATAGCAATTATTAATCCGTAACGGATTAAGATAAATAATTAAACAATCAATGTGGAGTTTAATTCTCTTTAGCACGGCCATGCATTAGAATTAGACTCTTATACAATATGTCATATCAATAATATTCTAAATGTTAATCGTAAACTTTTAATACTTTTTGTACACATTAGTCAAAATTGAACGTATATTGCACGTTATTGCTGAGTGGCGACAAGCCAATGTTTGTGGTTCCTAATGAAAGATGTAGGCCGCATACTTATCTAAACTTAAGCCAAATTATGAGATTAGTTAAGGAGTCTTAATTCTAAAGCAATAATGCATGTCAACCAATAGGCAATGGACCTACCATGTTCATTTTCGGTTATTGAAATGCTATCTCTTAAAGAATGGTTCCATCCAAGCGTGCGTTTCAATTTGGATTTATGGATTCTAGTTTCATTGCTTCAAGTTTTATATTTCTTATGTGGAATTGTTTTATTATTAGTTTCTTGATTGCTCATTGAATAAAATTATATAAATTTGGAGTTTTCCAATTCTTTGTTTCAATCTCTTTGATATTTATATTTGAATCAACGAATGTATTAAATAATATCTTCTCGTTATCTTGATTGGCTGGCTAAGAATTGTTCTTTTCATAATCGAGATCAAAGTTGTAATGGTTGAATGATAGTTTGATTGCATATATTGAGAAAGATGTATTTGACAAGATTGGAAATGATGTAATTATGGAACGTTATCAAAATATGCGAACACGTAGACAACAGTTGTAATAAAATATCTATTTTTTCGTCTTTTTTTGAAAGTTTGATTGTGCCCCCCCTGTTCAACAAGTCTGCGTCCGCCCCTGAATACTGGGATCGAGATATTTATACGAAAGGGTCTCTAAAATCAGTTGCTATCTTTTTTGCTCCATGCACGCATATAATATATGCAAATTACACCATTCACAAATTACATTAATATTACACACTCTTGCTGATGCGTGCTCCAATAGGTATTAGTTGCTACGTATGCAAGTTTTTCTACAAATTATACTCGAAAAAGCAAAAGATGAGAGATCGATGACTCAATCCGTTGCTGATCGACAAGAACGAGTATTAGCGATGGATTTGGCAATGGAATGGAAATGTGGGATTCAAAGACAGGGAAAAAAAAAAATCTCTCTCAAGTTTATTATTATTGTAATGATCCATAATATGAGTTGTGAATTTCCTTAAAAAAAATATTTCAATAACCGTGGATGTTCTGACCAACTTGTGCACCTGGACCAATCTCACGAGACCCTGAAATTTACGACTGAGTACTCACTTCAATGGCCCTGACGGGACTTGAACGGGTGATCATTGGAGAGCCAATCCAAGGTGATCAATTGAGCAACCCCTCAAGGTTAAATTTCCTTAAAAAAAATTATGATTTTTGTTATTTCTTTTAATGTAATATGACATGATCCCTACCAATTTATTAATAAACTAAGCCCCCTTAGGAGGGAGGCTGGAAATGGATTTCAATTGTTAATAATTATTCCATTAAAATTCTTTGTATGTTGAAGTAGCTATTTATGTTTCTTTAAGCACAAATTAAATTTTAAATTGTAGCTCTCGTGCCCTATCTTTGAATTCTTTTGCATTTTGTTAGCTACTTTAGGGACAAAAGTATAGAAAGGGTCAAAGACTAAGAACAACATGTGCAGTTCCATCAAATTACGACTAGTTCAATTGTAATTCAAACTAGAAAAAACTATGTAAGAACACTAATGCAAGTATAGCACACTATATATATATTGCATTGCATATGACTATTTATGAATTTGTTGTGTAATATATATTATTATAATAATTTTTGCATTCTCATAGGTAGAAAATATTCATCACCAAATGTTAGTTCTTTATTAAATATCACGGTGACCAAAAGTCGCATATGACTAAAAAACCATATATAATTTGCACGTCAAACCTTCCATCAAACGCTATGTGGCATTATATAAAACACAGATATAACTGAATACAAGGATGATAAAAGAATTGTTATGGCGTAAATCTACCATACTTGCGTGTGTTTTTAAAAATATGTATAAATGAATATTTCCCATAAGGGTTACCACTTATGAAGATGTCCTAAAAGATTGCACGTGTCACGTGTTGATTTGCTGAAGTTCTTGTCATGAGGAATGTTGGTTTAGGGTAAAGGGGTTTGTGATTTGTGTTTTTTTTAGAGTTATCATAATGAATGTCAAGACTTTGTTGCACTTCATCATTTGGCAAATTCTCCCCCTCGCGTGTACGCTAATAATTTCACCTTCAACTAAGTGATTTGAAAATTATAAAACGGGTTGAAAATTATCAGAATTGGCCGGGACAAATTATTTTTGGGCTGGGCTAGTTGCAAGGCATTCACCCTAGTCTAGGTGAACCACTAAAGTCAAATATTTTTAATTTATTTTTTGGGAAAATAAATAGCAGAGTTCGTGTCAAGTTGGGTTTGTTTAGGGATAAATTCCATATTAATTATAAATAAAATAAATAATCAAGGAACTGGATTGTCCAACCAAGTCTAGTTAGTCCGATGCAACTTAGGGTGTAACCTCTTCTTCACCTACCATTGAAGTGCTCAATGTGAATATGATTAAGGATAAGAATTTTTAATTGGTGATTGTTGGTGATCACGGATGTCTTAGATTACTTGGAGGCTTCTCCTTGGGGCCCTTACTTGCGAACTTTGTGACATTTGGAATTGTAGACTTCTAATTTTTTTTTATTTTTTTTTTTTTGACGAGGAACCCGCAGCTACTATCCGTCAACGGAGCCCCGACCAGTATGAGTACGCATTAGGTAAACCCCACTCCATGTGCAGTAACCTGCAAATCACATAGGAGAGGTAAACTGAAGCCGGTGCGACGGACTCGACCTAGGAAGTGTTGGCAGGAGATTCGAACACTTGATCTTTGGTCACCACGTTCACCTGCTCCACCAATTTGACCATACCCAAAGGGATTGTAGACTTCTAATTTTAATATTTATGTCAGCCGATAATAACTTGTTTAATATGTTTAAGCACGATCGGACATGTTTTAAGTCAATATTATATGACAAATAGGGGATGATGGAGAGAATTATCGCATTTTAAACTTTGAGCTGTGAATTTGTAAATATTTAATACAAATCTTCATATTACTGACTTTCTTCCAATTATATATAGTGCTCAATCTTACTCAATACTATACCTGTCGGGTTTTGATAACCAATGAATCACGATCAATGATGTAAATGTTGAATTAAATTGTTACAAACAACCAAGTCTAAAGGCTCAACCCGAAAACAACGTGGACCGTTGGAAATAACTTAAATAATTAATGTTGCTCATGGCCTATTTATATTACCCTCTTGGATGTCTTCGAATCTTGGCATATTTAATCTCTTTTATTGGCCCAACTAAAGTAACCTAGCATATATATATATATATGGTGTTTTTGCCCTAACCATTTTGTGGGTGATTTGTGTGAAGAAGAGAGAAGCTGGCAGCCACTTTTGGAGAGAGAAACGTGTGGCTTCCATTGGATTTAGTCTCGTTTCTTACTTCCTTCCATTGTTTTCTCTTCTTGCATTTGTGGTTACAAATCTTTGTCGTCCAGTGATTCAATAATTCACTATGATCAAAATAAGTTAACAAAAAAAAATAAATCGTACCCTCTATGGTCTCAATGAATCTCTTTATATCTTTCATGTTTTTGTATATCTAGTTTAAGAGAATGTGTGATTAAAAAGTAAAAAAAAAAATTAGATTTACGTGTAAAATATTTTATTGTATGGTTGAAAATGAGTATGAGAATTAAAAATTTCTGTTTAATTAAAAGTGCATCAAACATGATCTGATTGATTTGAGTGACAAATGACCTCCACTAGATCATCCAGCACCGACACATGTTACGTTTTGTAAAGTCACATAGCGATACTTTTAACAATTTTATGAAATTAGAATATTTGCGGAATCCGATATTAACGCTGTTCATTATACTAATAATTGCTGTTATAATCAAAGTCAATAAACGTGGTGTCCAGAGACCAAACATCTACGTACCGTAACGAGTTACATTATTTTTCAATCATACCAATTTCCCCGGCAAACTACTAAATTTTAGGGCTTTTTTATTATAATCTGATTGCATTAAATTATAATTAATTTTTAATCAAGTATAATTGATTGTGCGTCTTTTATCATCTATAAATACCAATGCGTTTTTGGATTATCATAAAATAAACTGGCAACATCAATTAAGATGATTAAATTCACCATTGTTCTCATGGTGATGATCTTAGGGTTGTGGGCTGCTCAATCCACGGCTCGCGTAATATCTGAGTCCTCCATGTTAGAGAAACACGAGCTGTGGATGGCACGCTTTGGACGTGTTTACAAAGATAATGTCGAGAAAGAAAAGCGTTTCAAGATATTCAAAAGCAATGTAGAGTTCATTGAAGCTTTTAATAAAGCCGGAAATCAGCCTTATAAGCTCGGGATTAACGCATTTGCTGATCAAACAAATGAAGAATTTAGGGCAGCTCGGAATGGATTAAAGATGCCCTCAAGGAAGAAATCATCTGAAATTACATCATTTAAGTATGAAAATGTGACTGCAGTGCCTTCTAGCTTGGACTGGAGGAAGAAAGGGGCTGTCACCCCAGTAAAGGATCAAGGACAATGTGGTAATTGACCTAATTCAGCTTTCTTAACGTTAAATTATTTAATCTAAAAGCTTAAGTTATACGTCATCACTATTTCCTGATTCATTTTTTGACTGAAAACTTGAAATGTATGAAGTTCCCAACATTTTCAACACTCCCCTTTACAATTAAAAATTTATAGATTTATCTTCAACACATCTTTTAACATGCACGCTATATTTTTTCGATCTAGAACTTCGACATATAGGAAATTCTCGTTGAATTTTCAACACGCCCCTCGCAACCAATATTAATTTATGGATAAATCTATATGTACATAATTATTGTATATAATGGATTACATAAGCCCATGTGGAAGTTCAACCATGGATGTGAAGTGTAGAAAATTCAAAAATTGTACACTACCGATGCGCACCACATGTCAATTATGTAATATATTATGTAAATGATTATGTACTTGTAGCATGATCCTTAATTTATATTTCGTCTTCAACAGGAAGTTGCTGGGCATTTTCAGCAATTGGAGCCACAGAAGGTATTAATCAAATAACAACAAAGAAGTTAATCTCATTGTCCGAACAAGAAATAGTAGACTGTGACAAAACAAGTGAAGATCAAGGTTGTGGAGGTGGATACATGGAGGATGCCTTTGAATTTATTGTAAAAAACAAAGGAATTGCCACTGAATCTACATACCCTTACGAGGCTACAGATGGTACTTGCAACAAAAAGAAGGAATTATCCCATGCAGCCAAGATTCTAGGGTATGAAAAAGTCCCTGTTAACAGTGAGAAGGCATTGCTCAAAGCTGTGGCTAATCAACCCGTGTCGGTTTCCATCGACGCCAGTGGAATGGACTTTCAGTTTTATTCCAGTGGCGTTTTCACCGGCGAGTGTGGGACTGAACTCGACCACGGTGTGACTGCCGTTGGGTACGGGACGACTAGTGATGGTACAAAGTATTGGTTGGTTAAGAATTCTTGGGGAAGCAGCTGGGGAAAGGAGGGGTATATAATGATGCAAAGAGATATTGGTGCTAAAGAAGGGATTTGTGGTATTGCAATGGATTCTTCATATCCAACTGCTTAGAATTGTATGCGTTGTGTGTAAATTTCTTGCATGAATCTTGTAAAATATATTGTGATTGCTGCAGTTTCATCTGTACAAAACTTCATTAATGGAACTGTCAATGCCTTGTTTATACTAAAAATATGTGTTTTCATGTTGATTAATTGATGATATATTTCCTCGCATAATTAGCATCGAAATTTTACAAAGAAGTCCTTGTATGAATTTGGATACAAAGTCGCTAGTAGAATAACTCGAGTTTTCATATTAGTATACATCAAAAGGACGACTAAACATAAAAAAATCTTTATGTAATTCAGGCTAAGCATTCATTTGTCATAGTTTATTTGAAAATCATTTTTCCTCAAACTCATTTTCAATCACACATTCTCACAATAAAATAATTTTAAATATGTACCTTAAATTTTCCATACTTTTTACCTACACATTCTAATGGGGAAAAAATTTCACTTCAAATTATCTCCCAACAAAGACTAAGAAAAGACCTGCAGCACTAGACATCATATTTACTCAGGGTCACCAGTGGAGGTTCTTGTAGGAACCGTAGATGGACATCAACTGTGACTATGTGTTGCGAGAAGAGAATTGTTCGATTTATCTTATTAAATATGACAAAAATTAAATTTTCCGAGCAAATCAGAGGCCAATGACAAAGATTGGGTACGGCATTTGAATCGGATTTAGTATTGCAGTGGCTTGACAAGACAAAGGAGTTGGGTGAAAGGTGTTGATGAAATCCTGAATCAATGTGGTGGGGTGGAGCGCATTGATTGGTAGGTACTCGAGTGTTGGGACAGTTAATGAGGCTTTGGAGTTGTTAAGGGAGATGCAAATGTCCGAGGTGGTGACGGATGAGGCGAAGATGGCATCTGATACCAATGAAACGTCGTGTCCTTCATAATTCAGGTTGAGCCTAGCCATTTGAAATTAATCATGTGCTATTGGTGAGTGCTCAAGGAGGGCTAGTTTCTAAGGGAGACTTTAATGATCATGCTTATATCTAGGATTGAACTATCTGTGGAACATTATGGCTGCAGAGAATTAAATTCTACTGAGTTTGCATGCGTCAATATCAGATTGGGCGGAAATGAGCCGTGATAGGGAACAGATGGAAACATAGAAGCAGCAATGCTGTACCGGGATGCAGCTCCATTGAAATTAGGCGGTTCTATGCACGAGTTTGTAACAGGTCTCTGGTTTCACCCCGAAGAAAAAAGATTAGGAACGTTTCCAAGAGGGTAACAGGGCCTAAGGATGTGCCTTGGATTTCAGCATCAGAAGTGTTGCATAATGCCAAAGTTGAACAACTCAATTCGATGTTTTTATGACATCGAATGCTCGAAAAACAGAAAGAGGAAAAGGAAAAATAAGAAAGAAAAAAAGAAGGAACAAAGTAATGATTGAAATGACAGCGAAAGTTGTTTTTATTACTGGGAAACAGTAGCTATTACACGTGATCACTCATTTTCCACCACCTCTCAAAGTAATACAAAAGGTTCCTCTGAAAAAAGGACTAAATGCTTGTGGCCTTGTGTATTCATGGAGGCCATTATAAAATGGTGATACCCGGGGGCTGAAATACTTCTAAATTTTAACCTAATTAGACTTGAATTTCAATTGGCCATTTGAACATTTCCTCATTGGGAACAGGGATTGTCAAAGTCACCAATCCAGTTGCATCTTCATAATGAAACTGGGTCTCGATATTGGCAACAGTGCATTTCAGTGGGCGCTGAGAACAGTAAACCCCAAAGAGACCAGCCCCCCTGACCTTGAGAACTACAGTAGCTTGTGGTGACCTGTCCGCGCTTAGAGGCCCATCGGAGGCAACCTCTCCATCAAAGTTCTTGGGTTTCTTCTGAGATGCCAAGTGGACTTCACAATGCTCCACGGCACCACTAGAGTTGAACATGTTGAGCAGACCAATTGGGGTAAATGAAATGTTTGCTGTAATATCCTGTGTAAAAGCAATAGATTCGTAAGGTTCATTTATCCATTGAATAACTAGAACTAATATGACAAGTCTTATTCTGTATAGAAACTCACCGTCACAGGACAAAAGTGGTAAAGATCATACTCGAGAACTTTGAGCGTCACGGGCAGTGAAGCACCTTTTGGTAACCGAACTACCTCGCCTGATCTATAGGCATACACTACTGCATCTCCATTCCAATCTGGTCCAGCAATTTGGGCTATGGAGTCTACATCAGTGGCTTTGACAGAACCGGTCAGAGTACCTGGAGAAGCATCGTGAATACGTGTCCTCTTTTCAACCTTGCACCAACCAGCACCTTGACAATTGAAGACACCAACCACTCCCGAACATTTATTAACATTCCAAATTTTAAGCAAGCTGCATTATATTATAGCATTGAAGTGTGTTTTATTATCAGATTAACAAAATAAAATGGAAGTGAAATTTATTATCTATTTAGATGCTCAAAGGATGAGATAGCTGAAATGAAGTTGCAAACCTGGTCCCGTCTCTAGCTGGATCAGCAAATAGACAGTCGACTGTGGGTCGGCCTGGCAATTGTGCACGGAGAACCGATCCATCAGGCAGCACCAGCTTTTTTAAAAGCTCGAAGTTGTGGTTACCGGGCTTGTCACTGAATTGCGAATGGGATTTCATAATAACTATGTTATTTTGACTACAAAGGCATTACAGTGGTGGATAACAAAGACGAAATATAATAATACCTGACATAAATTGTGCATCCGCCCACAGCTCTAGCAGCAGCATGATAGTCAGCAGCTGGGTGTAAGCTCTGTATATGTTGTTCACAAGTCAAGAATCTCAAGTATATACCTTAAAGAATTCTAATCAACATCCAAGAGGAAAACGGGTCGAATACATTTGACTAATTAATGTTGGAAATACTTACGTGGAACATATCCCAATCAGGTTGCATGAATTCTCCTAAGAATAGTGTGTTGTAAGCCACGGAAGAAATGTGGATGGTGTGAGATGCAGGATCACGAGGCCAAAAATCATCAGAAGCTCTAACTATAGCAGTCTGTTTGGCACTGTAGATCCCGTCAGTATTGTGACACATGCACGAAATGCATCCGTTGTCTGGAAAATTCCTTGCTACAGAGGCCTCGAGTGCCTGATGGTAGCTTCGTGTAAGAGAAACTCGACCTCCATAGCCAGCACCCAGAGTTTCGATGATATTCTGCACATCGACTTTGACTCCATCTACCCCACATGAAGCCAGATAGGCATGAAGCTCGTTGTAGAAATTGAAGACCTTCTTTGGGTGCACCAAACCCAAGCCATGAACCGCAAGACTGTCCATAACAATGTCAGGTTGGTTTCCTAGTACACCGGGAGACGACACGGGGTATGCTAAGGCAGCGTCATAATGTTCCATGCCCGGACCAGCGGGATGCACTCCACCCCAGTAACCCGCTAAAGCATGCCATACATAAACATTCCTGCAGCCAATAGGAAAAATAGAAAAAGAAAATATTAGTGAATAGCATATCAATATGCAGCAACTAGCATTTCCAATTTTGGGCCCAAATTACACGTACAAGGACTCCATGGGAGAATCAAAAATGGATATGATAAAAAAAAGTAAAAAGAATTTTGCACAATTGAAGAAGGGCTCATTAAGATACTAGGAAACTTACTTGACATTATGATGTTGCTTGGCTTCTTCAACGACATGCTTCAGGCCTGATCCCAGGTCGACGAGTTTTCCATTCTTCTGGAATTTTTCATTCTCTTTTATTCCTGTTAGCCTGTTTGCAAACCTGCAAATTAAATAGAAGCATATTAATAAGATGTCAAGAAATCAAATATTACTGAGCTAAAGTATAGTAAATTGAGCAAGAACTAGATTTCTTACTGAGCTCCTTCTTGTACAACACAATTGGGGTCTTCCTTGGCCTCATTACCAATCTGTTGCCAGCCATCATCTATGATCAAGAAACGTGGTGGTGTTCCTCCATCAGATAAGCTGCCGCCAATATTTAGTAAATTAATCCCCATTTACAATTACTTTCTTCTCTTCTTTATTGTTTAGGACAAGGAGATAATAGGATCGACATGTTTTACCTCTTAAGGCCTTCATCAACACCCTCGGCGGTCACATCGGTGTAGAAAGCATCCCATGTGCACCAGCCGAACCAGTCAAGAATAGAGGGCAACTATAAACGAGGACAAAAAAAACAAATATACGGTAAATAGAAGTTAGAACCATTCATCTTGATAAAAATCAAATCAAGCAATTCTAAATCACTTAATTGAAGAATAGAATTTACCTTTTTCTTCTCTCGGTGATGAAAAGTTTGCATGTGTTTTTCAACAGCTCTGTTTCACACAAAAAGGAAGGCCATATATCAATAAACAATGCAATGCTAGACCAGGCAAGACAACATCAATATGCAAGCAAGTACTTCAACAAATCTCAGTTGAGAATTAGAGCTACAAAGTCTATTCTAAATACCTTGTTCTTCCCCAATACTTCTGAGTGAGTAAACTTTCAATCCATGCACATTTTTCATTTTCCTACTATTTGTGTGGTGTGGTGGGGTGGGGTGGGGGGAGTGAATGTGGAGTGTGTTGGGGGAAAGGTTTGATTGCCAAGGACAAGCGAGGACTTACTTCACAGCCTGGTTGATGACTTCAAAAGGATTTGTCCCAGCATGCATATAAACAAGATTAAGTCCTTGGTTGGTTTCAACAGCAATATCTCCTGCAATAAAATCACACCACAAAGAAAACAAGCTCGTGTCGGTTTTTGGAAGTCATTCCTTTGTAATTTTCTTCCCCAAAATTCAATAAACTCCATTAATGTTCATGCATTTGATAACAGGTGAGTAATGGATTTCTTCGTATCAGTGGAGTTCGCAGTTTAACAACGTCACCCCACCATATAGGACTCTTGATCTCCATTTTTAGGCCGAATGGATGGACTGGCTTAACAGTGGATTTTGCCTAATGGATGGCAAAGTAACGAAGCATGTGGCCTATGGGGGATACACCACATATGTCAATGCATGTAGCATACACCAAATACTTTCTGATGCCATGAGCTACTCACCACTCTCAAGGCAGATCTCCAACTCATTCTTCTCATTGCCTTGAAGAACGGCACGGAACTGGCCTTCAAGGAGTGGCAGGAAGACGGTATAAATGGTTGGGGCATCTTCATGTTCGCCTTCCGTAGTGTCTTTGCTCTCCATGAGCATGAATTGGGTCTCTAAAGGAATGTCCTTCCCACATGTTCCCATTCTCTGAGTCATCCACCACAGCTTGAAACGGAATAAACTCAAGAAGCGAACACCCCTGTTACAAAATTGAATTAGAAGATCTGCACTATCATGTTTTAAAATATTATTGTGTGTTGCTAATTTTTCCGGAATGTAAATGGCAGTTTATTCTATCCTATGACATGTTAATATGCATCATAGTAGATAAAATATAAGTAATCTACAAATTCTCATCTATCCTGTGACATGTTAATATGTGTCAGAGTGGATAAATATGAGTAATGTACAAATTCCAATATGTTCTTGAAAATGTGAATGACTACACGACAACAGCATATACTGCATAAAGCACAGGACACGAATACGGAACTCATATTATCTACACTAATGATGTACTAGATTTTTATTTTTTCTCAAAGTAGTTTTGAGAGATAAAAATGCAAGTTTCGTTTGCGGCACTTGATTATTGGAAGGAGGGAAGGGACAATTGAGGTTTGGAAAATAGAATAACAATCTCAAATCGAGTAGATTAATTGCTCTATTTGCCACCCGCAACTTATGAAGTCGAGTTCAGAGGGATAATTTTGTACCATGACTTTTCTCCCAAACGAAGATGATGATGTACATAGAAGGGGAGTAGGTTCAAACAGCTAATCAAGTTCAAATAATAATACCCTACACATCTCATGGATGGATTACATTCTTAACTTTCTCCCCTGCTAAAATAGTATTTTCTATACAAGGCACCAATTTATGGAGTACATTAGAGGAAGTTCTGAAAAAGATGCAAGATCAACTAGTACGACAGAAAAAATGTTGCGAATTAATTTTACTGAATCCTATAACTGGAATTTTGAAGAGTTAAATAGGAATTCACTTCAAACAACCAAGCAATGAATCATTTCAGATAACTATCTCAGAAAAGATAAATAAAATGGCTCAGTGCTTACTCCAAGACACCGACGGGGAAGACATGCAGGCTTTTGCTATTTGAAGCTGTAGCACCAATGAATGCACCAGTAACAAGTCCCCCGCCTGATCCTGGGGTCAGTGCAATGTTGTCAGGCACTCCAGTGAGTATGATCTTCCCATGAACCACAAGATTCCCATCATTGACAGAGATTTTAGGTGTAATCGTCATATTTGCACGCTCAGCTACTGCCTAGCTAGTAACTAAAATCCAAGCAAAACAATAAGCATAACTTAGAAACCAAACGGCAAAGGAGCAATCATATTGAGATCTAAATAAGAACAAAGATCAGATCACAACTAACACCTAAAATTAATCTCAAAATTAAAAAAAATTTAAAAAACTATTAAGTGCTTTTATTATAGAAGAGAATAAAATGCTTCCCATGAACGACAAAATTAAAGACTGGTAGGCATGATATCATCAAAACATGAGCTTTCTAAAATATGGTTTGCAAGGAGAATTAACACAGAGAATACACATGTAATCAGCTTATTAATCCTCAGCGTAACATTCGTGCTTACTTAACTCTCCTAATAGCATCGGTTGACATATTGATCCATCTGACTAATTCGCATTGTTTTGAGAAACTTAAGTCCAAACAGAGGAACCCGGTCATTCAAGCAAATTACCATTAATAATGTTCTTTGAAAGGTTCTTTAATTAAGATTTACCTAACTATATCTTAAATTAGACCTCTCCAAAAAACCAAACTGAACCGAACCGGACCTGAACCGAACCGAACCGAACGGTTCTTCTTAAATTAAATACCCGAACGGGTATCTAAATCAAGAACTGACGGGTTCGGTTCGGTTCTAGACCTAGAACCGAAGAATCGAATAAGAATCGAATCTTTCTAATTTTTTTAATTTTTTATCTTAAATAAGTCAAATTATTTTATTTTTTCTACATGAAATTGCTAACTAATTAATATGGCTTAAACCTAAAATATGATTTTACTATTTTCAATTTTCAGCCAAACCCAACTTAATTAAATTGAACTAAATTTTACCCAAATATTTATTTTTTCTACATGAAGTTGCTAACTAATTAATTTAACTCAAACCTAAATTAAGATTTTACTATTTTCAATTTTCAGTCAAACCCAACTTAATCACATTGACCTAAATTTTACCCAAATCTCTTATTCTACCGTAATCTCGTTTATGTTGTTCTATTATTGTGAAATCGCTATCTTTCTTTTCTTGTGATTTTAAGAGTCATATCTATGAAGAACTCAACAAATAAATGTGCAAAAGATATAACTAGATTGGACTACATTATTTTGTAAGAGTTAAAATTGAACATGTTATAATAGAATTAATTTAGTGTTGTGGTAAATATAAAAAATTAATTATTGTATGGGACCTAGGAACCGAATTCGAACTATTCCATAATTAAATTTGGACACGACAGTTCCACTTACTAAATACCAGAAAATTTCGGTTCAATTCGGTTCTTCTCAGAATCGGACCATGTCCAGCCCTAATTTAATCCATCTTAAAATTCTAAGATTAAGGAAAGTTCACATTTCAACTTCACTAAATCATAGATCGGGATTACAAGCTATCATCAGAGGACAACAAATTATAAGAGCTTTTACACCGTGGAATTAAGTATTTTAAGATTTTACTATCAAACAAATTACGAATTAAAAGCTAGAAATAGCTTTTAACTTCATAAATATTGTCGCTGGACCACCACACCGAGATCAAGATCTGCTTTAGATCCAACTTTTGAACTTTTACGAAAGCTTTAAGGAACATCCTCTTTATTTCCTTTTCTTTTGCAAGTTTTTCTTTTCAAAAAAACCAGAAAGAAAATTGAAATTTCCGCGAAAGCGAGAAAAGGGAGACAAACTTTCGAAGTCTTCGATGAAATCCCACAAGAGTTGAAAACGAAAAAGCACAGAAATGACCAGATTCATGAAAGCGATCATGCACAGTTACTGAAATCTCTGAAAGAAATGATTCTAAAATATTTCTAGTTTCTGAATATTATAAGTTTGTGCTATGTATAAAGAAAACAAATTAAAATATTTTAATTCCAGATACTCAATACGACGTCGCTAACTCATAGCTCAAGTCCACTGTGTCGAAGGGGGTAAATTTGAAGAAAACTCGAGGGCAAAATAGTCAGTGACCAAAAAACTTCCCGACGAAGAAGATCCACCGTTAGAAACTGGCGAGAAGTACAGAAAGGATGGCAGATAATATAAATTTAAAGAAATCCGAGGTAATAATCGTCAGAAAAATCATTCCAACTGCTAAATTACAGGAATTAAAATAATTCTTGAACCCATTGACGCCAAATGCCATTTCAAGGCTTCAGAAAAAACTAAGCAAAAACACATGTTTAAAAGCGCAATTTTTTTTCAAATCACCTCCTAAGGGTTTCTAATTCTTCAGAAAAATGAGAGCAGGATCTGAAGATCGCTTCGCAGGCGAAAATAAATCAGAAATTGTATTTCGGTACTTAGGCAAAAGGAAAGTTTGACGAGCAATCGTATTCATATAATTCTTGCAAAAATCACAGGAAAATAGTGCTAAGGTGGTATCACATAAACCTGTAAATAGACCTCAAAATCAATAATTCTTCAAAACAGAAAATTTCCTCGCCGAGTCACTTCGAATTCAAGTAATTAACAAAATTCAGCAAAGAAACATTCAAAAAAACTCACCTTTTTTTAACGCTAACCGCTTCAAAAAGTAGCCTCAAAGCTCTCAAACCTCAACTAGCTCGATAAATACTTCAGCAGAAGCACATTCCACACAGGAACACAAGCTTCTTTAGAAAGAGAGAATGAAAATACGAGCTCAAAATGGTGAACAATGGATCACAGAACAAATTCAGGGCGAGTTCGAAAAGGAAACAACTGGGGGTTTATATACACAATTTGAGCTTCAACGTCGAACATTTGTCGTCACTAAACTAGTGAAATGATGACACGTGTAGTACAAATGCTCGATGCTTAGATAATCTGAAAATGGATATTTTGCATGGAACTCATTTATTTTTGTCTCTGTAAATAGTTGCAGAGTCTGAGGGCATTCTTGGGAACTTAAGTATTCAGCCTGAAATAAATGGTTGAGCAAAGTGACTTTTGTTTTGTTACTTTGGTTCGAGGAAAAGTTGCCAGAAAGATGTGACAGTAAGAGATTTGAAACTCGAGTTACTAGCCATCTTATCTGACCAAAAACTATTATTTGGACCAACAGTCATCGAGCTAGATAGTGATTTCGGTCATTAAACGTTCACGATATTCATTGCTAAGGCATATCATCAAAATGCACAAGTGCTAGCTCGAACTATGTCATCTAGATATAATAGAAATAAAATAAACAAAAATTCAACATTATCGGCTCGAACCATTTATCAAAGTACTATGAATCACCATTTGACTTCACAAAAAGAGCACACGAGTGGTATGATTAGGAATGATTAAAAATAACAAGAACTTTTAATCAAATAGTGTTGACACACAAAATATTCAGCTCAAATCAAATGGCCCAAGAAAGGAAATGGCCCAAAAGAAGAAGCTCATTTAGAGAGATCAGGGTAAAAACCCAACCAGAAATGTCATTAAATATGATGAAAGCCCAAAAACAAATGTACGTCGTCGTCCAAACCTGCATAACGCCCAGATATTGAGCGAATAAAATATCCTATAATCGCTCAGGGCGGAAGATCAATTGTCGTCCAAAAATGCTGAGTCGCCCAGAGTCTCAACAATGACTAAAGCATGTTGTTATCCAAAGTCACGATCTAAGGCAGTTTGAGCACATCATAGTTATTCCTCACGATTTGAGAGAGTTGATGGCAAACAGTTATGAAGAGGACGTGGTGATAGGAGTTGCACGCGGTAATTATTGGTCAACCGACCATGATGAAAGAAATGGGTAGTTATAAGCAGTTTCTAAACAATCAAAACTGCACAAACCGTATAAAAGAAAGAAGAAGACAACGAAGACAACCCCGACAAAATTCACTCTCAAACAGAGAACATGTAATTTACTTTTCTTAGATTAACTTTTAATTATTTCAATTCCCTTGTACTCTTATGCTTGCGCCCCTTGGAGGCATCTTGTTCGTGTCCAAACTGTAATCTTCATATTCAATAAACACCCATTTTTGAGACTTTGTTCCAAGAGGTTTGTCCCTTACACAATCGTCTGATCCCTTTTTAATTGTTAGCGAGCAAAAACCCGTGAAACAAATAGAAAAAATGACAAAAAAAATTATATATATATAAAAGATGAATGGTTTGTAAAATTTCAATCCTTACCTCGAGTGACCATTTCATTAATTAAATTGAACAAACTTACTCGTATATTTAGTATGATGAATCTAAAGAATTGTAGAGCATAGCAAATAAATTAGTCGAATATTTACTACTTATAAGTAGATGAAATTGCACTGAACGGTATTTAATAACAAAAAAGTTGAATTTTATTTATTGTAGTAATCCATTTTAACAAATATTCTTGCAATACTTTGTAGAAACTGTGATCGGTCTTCTTTTTACTTTCGAAATTACTTAGGCCATGTTCTCTTTATCGTTTTCAAGTCGTTTTCTGTTTTCGATTTTTCAAAACGGTGAAAACGTGTTCTCTTTCCGCTTTTCGAAAACGTATTTTCGAAAACACCAAAAAAAATACTGAAGAAAACAGAAAACGGGGAAAATGTCATTTTGGGCATTTTCTGTTGAAAACTCGAAAAAGTTGAAAAACACGGGAAACAAGTTTCTATAAAAAAAAAACATTTCTCTCCCTTATTTCCCACAGAGAGAGAGAGCGACGGGAGGGAAGGGGCTTCGCCCCCTTCCTCCGATTCCACCACCGCCGCCGACAGCGGTTGGTGGCAGCGCCACCACTTATGGTAGTGGTGGCGC